TTTAAGGTTGAATAATATTTCATTCTATGTTTATGCCACATTTTGTTAATCCATTCACGTGTTGATGAGCATTTGGGTTGTTTCTACCTTTTGTCTATTGTGAATAATGTTGCTGTGAATAGTAGTGTACAAGTATCTGTTTGAGTCACTGCTTTCACTTCCTTTGGGTTTATATCTAGGAATGCAATCACTGGGTTTTATGGTAATTCTATGTTTTATTTTTTTAAGGAACTGTCAGGCTATTTTCCACAGTGGTTACACTATTTTACATCCCAGCAAGGCACAAGGGTTCCGATTTCTCCATACTCATTATTTTCCTTTTCAATAGATATAATAGCCTCCCTAATGGGTGTGAAGTAGTATCTCATTGTGGTTTTGATTTGCATTGCCCTAATGATTAGTGATACTAGGCATCTTTTCTTTTGCTTATTGGTCATTTGTATAGCTCCTTTGGAGAAATCTCTATTCAAGTCTTTTGCCCCTTTTTAAAAATTGAGTTGTTTATCTTTTTGTTGTTGAGTTGTAGTAGTTCTTTATACATTTTTAACATTAATCCTTTATCAGACATGATTTGGCAATATCTTCTCCCATTTTGTAGGCTGTTTTTTAACTTTCTTGATAGTGTTCTTTGATGCACAAAAGTTTTTAATTTTGAGTCCAAGTAACCTATTTTTTCTATTGTTTTCTGTGCTTTTGGTGTCAGATATAAGAAATTGTGGCCAAATCCAAAGCTATAAAGACTTTCCCTTGTGTTTCCTCCTAAGATATTTATAGCTTTAGCTCTTACATTTAGGTCTTTGGTCCATTCATTTTGAGTTAATTTTTGTGTATGGTATAAGGTAAGGATCCAACTTCATACTTTTGCATGTGGATATCCAATTTTCCCAGGATCATTTGTTTAAAAGACTGTCCTTTCTCCATTGAATAATTTTAGAATCCTTGCCAAAGGGTGCCCAATCCATGAGGGTTTATTTCTGGGTTCTCTATTGTATTCTGTTGTTCTATATGTCTGTACTTATGCCAGTAATACCCTGTTTTGGTAGTAAATCTGTGGTAGTAAATTTTTTTAATTTTGAAATTTGTAGTAAATTTTCAAATTAAGAAATGTGAGTTCCCCAATTTTGTTCTTTTTCAGGATTTTCTTGGCTATTTTGGGTCCCTTGAAATTCCAGATGAATTCTAGGATGGGTTTTTCTATTTCTGCAAAAAAAAAAAAAAAAAAAAAAGCTATTGGGAGTTTCATAGGAATTGCATTAAATCTGTAGATTGCTTTAGGTAGTATTGTCATGTTAACAATATTAAGTCTTCCAATCCATGAACATGGGATGTCTTTCTATATATTAGTGTCTTTGTAAATTTCTGGCAGCAATGTTTTGTGGTTTTCAGCGGAAAATTCTTTTTGCCTCCTTGTTTAAATTGATTCTTAAGTATTTTAGTTTTTACGCTATTGTAAATGGAATTGTTTTATTAATTTCCTTCTTCGATTGTTCATTGTTAGTGTATAGAAATGAAACTGATATTCGTGTGTTGATTTTGTATCCTGCAACTTTGCAGAATTAATTTATTAGTTCTAACTGTTTTCTTGTGGGTCTTCAAAATTTTCTACATATAAAATCATGTCATCTGTGAACAGAAATAATTTCACTTCTTCTTTTCTAATTTGGATGTATTTTCTTTCTTTTTCTTACCTAATTGCTCTACCTAAAACTTCCAGTAATATTTTGAAAAGAAGGCGTGAAAGTGGGCATCCTTGTCTTCTTTCTAATCTTAGGGGAAAGCTTTCAGCCTTTCACCATTGAGAGTGATGCTAGCTATGAATTTTTAATAAATTCTCTTAATCTTGTTGAGGAAGTTTCCTTCTATTCCCATTTAATTGAGTTTTTTTATCATGAAAGGGTGTTGGATTTTGTCAAATGCTTTTTCTGCATCCAATGAGATGATCATGTGGTTTTCTCCCTTCATCTTATTAATGTGATGTATTACACTGATATTTGTATGTTGAATCATCCTTGTACTTCAAGAATAAAATTCACCTGGTCTTGGTGTGTAACCCTTTTAATGTGCTGCTGAGCTAAGTTTGCTAGTATTTTACTGAGGATTTGTCTATCTATATATTTATGAGAAATATTGGTGTGTAGTTTTCTTGTAATGTCTTTGTTTGGCTTTGCTATCAGGGCAATGGTGGCCTCATGGATGAGTTAGGAAAGGTTCTCACTTCTTCATTTTTTTTTTTTTTGGAAGAGTTTGAGAAGGATTCGTGTTAAATCTTCTTTAAATATTTGGTGGAATTCACCAGGGCAGTCATCTTGTCTGGGGCTTTTCTTTGTTGGGATATTTTTGATTACTGATTCAATCTCCTTACTAGTTACAAGTCTATCCAGATTTTCCATTCCTTTGCGACTCAGTTTTGGTAGATGTATGTTTCTAGGAATTTGTCCATTTCATCTAGGTTACCCAATTTGTTCACATGTAATGTTTATAGCATTCTCTTATGATCCTTTTTATTTTTGTAAAATTGGTAATAATATCTCCACTTTCATTTCTGATTTTAGTACTTTGAGTCTTTCTTTTGTTCTCAGTCAATCTAGTTAAAGATTTGTCAATTTGGTTGATATTTTCAAATAACTAACTTTTGGTTTTGTTGATTTTTTTCTGCTGTTTTTCCATTTTCCATGTTTTTTAAATCTCCACTCAACCTTTATCATTTCCTTCCCTCTGCTTGCTTTGGGTTAGTTTTCTCTTATTTTTCTACTTCCTTAAGGTGTAAAATTAGGTTATTGACTTGAGACCTTGTGTCTTTTTCAATGTATGCATTACAGATTTAAAGTTTCCTCTTACACTGCTTTCTCTGCATCCTGTAAGTTTTGGTGTGTTGGTTTTCATTGCCATTTGTCTTAAGGTATTTATAATAAAGCTCTGATTCTTTCCTCAGCTATGTTGAGTCTGCTGATGGCCCATCAAAGGAATTCTTCATTTCTGTTACAGTGTTTTTGATTTGTGTATCTATATTCTAGCATTTTCTTTTGATTTGTTCCTTTGAATTCTTCATGTCAGCTTATGTTACCACCTGTTATTGCATGTTGTCTACTTTTTTCATTAGGACTCAACATATTAATTATACTCATTTTATAATCTTTATCTGATAATCCCAACATCTGTGAGCCTAGTTCTAATGAAAGCTTTGGCTTTCAGACTTTGTTTCTTCTTATCTTTAGCAGGCTCTATAATTTTTTGTAGAAAGCCAGACATGTTGTATAGGGCAATAGGTACTGAGGTAAATAGGCTTCTAGTGGGAGGATTTATATTAATCTGGCTAAGAGTTGTGCTGTTTTCATATTTGAAATAGCTGTGGCTATGACCAGGGGCTTCATATTACCACAGTGGGCTCACTTCTTCCTCCCTTCTTTTCCTTGTGGCTTCCCTTTGTTCTGGGCCTTAGAGAGAATCTTAGGTCTTGTAAGTCTTTTAGCTGTAACCCACTGTTATTATTGCTAGAGGCTTATCACAGTGGTGATAGGGTGAGTGCGAGGGGTGGGCAGGGGAGGGATATTCCCTTATCTTCTAAGCTTCTAATTAGGTCTCAGTCTTCTGTGAGCCTGTGCCCCGGGGATGGCGTCAAACCTTCAGAAACCCTAGTCCCTTCCAGCCTAGTTCCCAGTCTATTTTCTTGAAGTCCTCTCTGGCTGACTATCACTTCCTCTACTTGTTTGTTTCCTTGTGTGGGACAAGAAGGCTGGAGAGGACTGTAGTGGGATGAAGTTCCCTTCCCTCAGCTTGGAAAAGGTTTCAGGACAGTCCTCAGGAGAAGTCCCTCTCCTGTGAGGTAGACCTATTAGGAGAAGGGTCTGGCTACCTTCCCTTTCTCTCTGTCAGGCCCATGAGGGGATCATTCTCTATCCTCACCAGAAAAATGTAGTGTGGTTCCTGGAAGAAGAGCCTATGGAGGTATAGGCCTCCTTTTTACTGTCCAGCCCCCCAGCCTCACCCAGCCTGCAACAATTTGTCAAAATTTCTCTTTAACTGTTCCTACCAGTTTTGGCATCTTGCAGTGTCTGCTCCAGGTCTTCATTGCTGGATTTCTCTGGATGTACCTGTCTCTCCAGGTTTCAGGGAAGTTGTTTGCCCTGTGACCTCAGTTCTCCGATAGGTCAAGAATAGCCATTGATTCTCAGTTTGTCCAGATTTTTCTTGGTGTAAGGATGGGAATAACACTTCCAAGGTCTTACACGCAATAGCAAAAAACACCTTTCCTCTCCTAAATATGGGGTTGTGTGACATGTCTATATCAGCATGGAGCCCAGGCCATCAACATCAGGGCCTCGAGACAGCCGGGCAGTGGGGCAGGGTCAAGGAAGCAGGAGGTGGTGTTCATTTAAAAAATGCATCTTGTCATTGGTGAGGTAAGTTTCACTTTTATAGTTTTGAAGAAGGCTTTAATAGAGAACATTTAGGATAATAAAGGAGTGAGTGCAGCATTATTTGTAGCAACAAAAATGGAAAATAACTTGAATATCCAACAGGGGAGTATTTAAATTAATTGATGTCCACAGGCAGCTACTGTGCAATGTTCAAGAAAATGGAGAAATGCCTGCTGCTGGTACCTGCTAAGAAGCTGTCTAAGACACACTGTGCAGTAAAGAAAGGTTAAAGTTCACGTGTGTTTACATCATGGGCATACAAGGGTCTGCCGCCCCATACTCATTCAGAAGGCTGGGGCAAGGAGGCTCTGGCCTCGCACTGCTCGGATTGGTGGTGGGAAGTGGGAATTTGATCTCAAAACAACAGAGGGGTAAAGCAGAAAGGACAGAGACTCACTTTTCACTGTTTTCTGTGCCTTTTGGGTTTTGTATCCTGTGTATTTATCTCTGTTCCATAAAAAATTGAAATAAAATAAGAAACCAGGAAAGGTCAGCAGCACCTCGAATGCATTCACAGGCTCTTCCCCAACCTGTGCAGCCCTCCACCCCTTCTTCTCTTGGCGCCTCCCTCCTGCTCTCTTCCCTGGCCTCCTGTTCCACCCCAGCCACCCTGCTGTAGGGCTCAGGCCTCCCCCACTGTTAGAGCAGGCAGGGAGGTTGCCCAGATCCCTCTCAGCATCTCCCAGTTCCCAGAGCAACCTCAGAAGGTTGTAAGGTACAGAGCATAGGCCCCAGGGTGAATTCCAGCCCCCAACTTACCACTGTGTGACCCTGGGGACAGCTGTGAACTGGGACAACTGGATCTACTTCTCAGGATATTTTCCTTGGGAAAAATACCCTATAACCACTATAGCCACGTGTGAATGAGCGGGTTAAACGTGGCCAGAGTTCTGAAAATGCCCCAACCAGGCCTCTTCTCTCCCAGCACGGGCTGGGCTTCTGTCACAGGAGCTGGCCTGCAGTTATCCTTTCCCCTCAGTGGGTCACCTTGAGGATGTCCTTGAGCCGTGCCTGGACTTCTCTTGCAGGGGAGGGCAGCCTGCAGGGTGGGTACAGAGAGCGAGATGGGCTGAGGGAGACTTGGACCCACTGGATGCAAGAGGAAGGTCATACTACCCTCCTCCATTCCCCCAGCAAGGCACCCAGCAGCCCACTGCTGGGACCTCCTCCAAGAGTGCTGAGAGTGAGAATCTCTGGGATGCAGGGATTGCTTAAGATGCTCCCCAGATCGAGAGCCACTGGGCCAGTGGTTTTTCCTAGATAGGCATGGCCCCAGTTCCTTGTTTCTGCTGTCCTGCTGCCAGGTCACTGCAGACACCACCTCGCCATGGCCTCTGGGTCCTGGATCCCCTTTGTTCCTGTCATCCTGACCCTAGGCCCCTCCTGACCATGCCTGGACCACCTTTGTTCCTGCCTTTCCCAGTGCCCTTGGGCCTGGCTGGGTTCTCCCCCATCACTACCAGTCACCAGATACATCCAGGAAACTCTCCATCAGAACTTCTGCCAAGGTAAAACCCTAACTCTGCTCTCTCCAGACACAGGCTTGTCATCAGGAAGAAATCATAAAACCACGTGCAACCTTTTGACATTTCATTATTCCCACAAGTATTGACTGAACAGTGCTCTGCTCAGGCATAGTACAGAGTGACAGGGCGTGGCTGAATGTAGGGCGCCCACCCCTGGCTCTCAGCCTCTTACAGGGAAACAGGCAGCTGGCACCCAGAGGTGTTCAGACATCTGTGCCCTGAAAGAAAGGAGGATGAAGGTTTGAGAGAGGCGTTCGCTGCAGGCATTCAGCAAGAGAAGTTCCAGAGCCTGGTGAAGAGCTGGACCTTTTGACCAGGGGGTAGGACTCAAACCCCATCAATGCTGCATGCTAGCTGTGTGTGTCCATTAGCAAGCTGCATCAGCACTCATGCCTCGGTTTCCATGTCTGAGGAATGAGGAGAACAACTGTGCTCAGGGTGAGGCAGGGATGAGGTGAGCTGTCCTGTGCGTAGCCTGCTCACAGCGACGCTCAAGAACGCTGTTGTGATGGTTTGCAAAGGTCAAGTTTGGCTTCCCAGGAAGGCTGGTCCTGACCTTCCTCGGTGTCCCAGGTCTAGGTGGGCCTGGTGAGGAGCCTTGCTGGGCCCTTCTGAACCTATGATGTGCTGTCTGCATCCTGCACACAGTAGGCCTCAGTGAGCAGTTGTTAACAAGGGCCATGGAACATTTTCTAGCCTGAAACAAAGCCCCAGACAGTTGAGAAAGGCACCAGCATGGGTCAGCTGTGAGACTGCATCCCTCTCTCCAGAATTCCGCCCCCATCACCTGACCCACCCCCTTTCTATGCTGGCCCTTCCTCCAGAAACTATCTCACAGCTGCCTGCGGCATCCATCCATCCTTGGCATCTCATTGTGGCAGGTTGCCTGAGGCAGGACCTAACCAAAGAGAACCTTGATGGGCGGTTTGTCGCTGCACCTGCCATCCTGATGCCGACCAGAGAGGACCCCTGCCCTTCCTGAGTACCAGGCCACCTTCTCCCTCCACAATTCTGGGTGTTGGTGCTGTGCCTTCTCTGGTTTAAGGAGTACAGGCCATTCAGAGGTGAGTTTTCCTGAAGGGGAGTCAGGGATGCTGAGAGTATGGAGGGGCGAGAATGGCAGAGTTGTGAAAAATCAATCAACTTCTTCCTAAAGAGAATTTTGCCAACCATGGCTCAGTTAGAGAGTCATGTTGGGAGAAATTATTGTTTTTATGGGATGATTTGTGACCGAGAATTCACCGGTACCCATGGACCAGGGTCCCCAGGGTCTTGGCAGCCCTGTTTGCACAGTAATCACGGCATCTGCCAGTTCCAAGGCTTTTGCTGAGACAGGGCTGGTCTTGCTTCCTGTTCCCACAGAGCCCTCAGCCCCAGTATGTTGTGGCTGCTTGTCTTGGGCAGAGAGCAGGCTGCAAGGGGCCCGTGGGCACTCTTGAGCTCATCTGCAGCCCTCCATCTGCCTGTCTCCCACTCCACATGCTTATTATTCTCAACCCCTGTGCAGACTTACTGGCTTGCTCTGCTCTGGTTTACAATATGTACCATTTCCTTCCTATCAGCATCAAGCCTGAGCTCCTCTCTCTGACATGCTGTGCGAGGAGCAGCCAGGGTGGCCACTTCACAGCCAACCCCCAGGATTGGACTCTTCATTTCCTTGTGGGGAAATCAGTGAGGCACACTTTGAGAGTACTGGCAGATTTGCAACTGTCCTTGGCCTTGGGCTGTCCTGTACCTGTTCTGGCTGAGCTGGTGGGTTTAGGCATGGATGCCTCCACATTCAAATGCCCCACCCCACTTGCCTGAATCCTGCCACCTCCTTACCAGCCAACACAGTTCTCACATCAGGGACAAACAATGGAGATTTGGGTCTTAGATTCTCCTGAATGTGCCCACAAAGACACAGCTCCTGGTGAGTGCAAGCCCATCCTACAGGTGGGGCTCAGCCATGGCTGGCCGGAGGGCCCCCACTTCTAGCTGGTTGCAGAGGAGGCCCTCAAGGGCCAGGAAGCTGCAGCGGCTTTCTGGAGCACTTGCGGGGGGGCCCTCCTGCTGGCTGTCAGAAGTGAGCAGGTGGCCCCGGGGGCTCAGCCCGGCAGCAGGGCCTGAACGAGGCTACGAGTCCAGCTGGCCCCCGTGTGCTGCCTGTTCCGGGGCCCTCAAGCTGAGCTGCAGGGGAAGGTCCTCCAGAGAGGCACTGGTCTGGGCATGCAGCCTGGTAGGCTCCACCCTGAGCCGGCTCAGGTCCAGGATGCGGCCCGGGCACCTCTGGTCCTGTGGGCTGTGGAGTGGGCTGCCCAGGGAGGGCAGGACACAGATGGCAGCCACGCTATGGAAGCTGTTAGGCTGCCTCTGCTGCAGAATGTCAGGGCTCCTAGCCTGAGGCTGCCCGCAGAGCCCACTGCCCATATCTGGCCTTGAGGGCTGTGCAGCAGGGGGCTGGCAGTCTGGGTGGATCTGCAGTGCTGCCACCTGAGCCACACAGCCTGTCAGGGTGGGCTCTGCATCCAGGGTGCTTCCACCAAGACCTGACCTCCAGGGACTTTGCAAACACCCCAGGTTCCCAGATGGCCTAGGCTCCTGGGAGCCAGGCCAGGCTGAGGGATTTGGGACCTTGTTTTTGCTGGAAGTGTCTGTTGTTGCAGAGGCTGCAGACCCCACAGAGGAGAATGAGCCTTCAGGGTGGCCTTGTGTCCCTTCTTCCCCAGAGACCTGCACACCATCCAGAGATGGGTCCCTGGACAGCGAGCTGGCCCCCCGCTCAGCCCCTGCTAGAACCTCGCTCTCTCCAGCAAGCAGGTCCTTGGTGACTGAACCTGCCCAGGGCTCCTGTCTGCTGGGTGCTGAGCCCACGGTTATCCAACCTGCCTCTGAGGCCTGGGACCCCCTGCCCTCCAGCTTTGCTGGACCTGGGCCCTTCTTCTCAGAGTCACCTCGCAGCTTCCCCGACAGCTCCCCGGACAGGGCTGTGGGCTCCCCAGGGGCCGAGGTAGGTGGGCTGCGGGGCTCAGGGCCACGGCGGAGCCAGTTGATGATGCCCATGGTGATGGCAAGCTCAGTGTCACAGAGCTTCAGCAGGCACTCCTTGCCCTTCCAGGAGCTTTGCAAGAAGCCCTGGCTGAGCAGGTCTGGGCCCAGCGCTGGAGCCAAGTTCTCCTCCGCCCCGACGTGGAAGCTGCACATGGATAGTGGTGCCCCCAGTGCTGGCCCTGACAGACTCTCGGACACGCACAGCTCATCATCAAGGCTCGGGCCAATAGGGCCCTCACGTGGGTCATAGAAGAGCTCATAGAGGGCGTCTCCACTGTAGCTGTCCCGGGGGAAGGTAGCTGCAGGCATACCTGGGCTCAGGGCTTCCTTCTTGTCCTCCTCGAGGCCCGGTGAGAAGGAGTCATAGTAGCCCTCGTCACTCGTGGAGAGGGATTCAGGCTGCTCACTCTTGGGGGTGCCTGTGTCTACGGAACTGGCTTTGGAGCCACTGTGGGGGTCCTTGCAGGGGCACAGAGGGAGCTCAGCAAGACCAGCTGCATCCAGTCTGGGCTGGTCTGTGTCTGTCCCCTGGGGAACCCCCAGCCAAGGGCCCAGGAGGACCCGCTGCTGCTGCTTCACTGACTGATTCACACTGTCCCAGAACTTGGCGAAGTCAGACATCTCGTTCTGGGCAGGCGAAGCCAGTTGCTCCACACTGCCCTGGAAGGGGCCCCTGGGAACCTTGCTCTCAAGGGCTTGCGATGCCCCGGCTGGGCTCTCCAGGCCCTCATTCAGCTCCAGGGATGGCACTGAGCTCTCATCTGCAAAGATCTCCCCGCAGCCCGTGAGTGAGTCAAAGCTCTTGAGTGAGGCCACGTCCTCACACAGGGCACTGCAGAGGTCGAAGGAAGAGTCAGGCAAGAGCTCGCTGTCAGAGAGGTCCTGGCACAGGCCATCGGACGCCAGCCCCTCGCCCCAGGGGAAGAAGGCTTTGCCTGGCTGCCCTCCAGCCTCTGAGGGGCCCCCGGGGGAGGAAAGGCTCTTCCCGCTGGTCGCCAGCGAGGCCAAGTTCTCAGTCTTGCTTCTGCGAATGTGGAAGAGGTTCCGAAAGCACTTCTTGGGTCGTTTCAGGGAAATTCTCTTCCTTGGGATGCTCTTGGCCACGGCTGGCACGAAGGGCATCTGGGGCACAAAGTGGCGGTAGTCAATCATGCGCTGGCTGCCGGAGGGCCCTGGGAAGCTTGCACTGCCCACCAGCTGCCCCGTGGCTGCGCCCGCCCGGCCAGCCTCAGGCACATTGTCGTGAGTCTTGCTCTTCCGCACCAGTTTGAAGGTGGCCCCACAGAAAGCTGCAGCACCCACCTCAGGGTCTGGCTGTCCCCCCTTGTTGGAACATTTGTCATGTCCTTGGGTGCTGGGGCTGACCTGGGGGCCCTTCTCACCGTGGGGCTGCTGCTGCCCTTCCGGTGAGACTGACCAGGGGCCTGCATCCTCCCTGGCCAGGACAGTGGCTGCTGGGTCTAGGGGTTTCTCGTGGGAAATCTGCAGGCTGGATTTGATGAAGGTCTTTCCTCTCTTTAGCTCCATGCTGCCAGTGCCCCTAGCTGCTGTGGAGGAAAGCAAGAGGCACTTAGTAACCAGAGTGGAGGCCTGTGGTTCTAGAAGACCTCTGCCTGCTCTGCTCAACAGCGGTGTTGGAGCTGAACTCTGACATCTAAACTTGGGTCCTCCATGGAGAAGGAGGGAGGGAGAAGGGAGCTACCCCCCACCACGTGCACTGCTCTAGCCTTTATAGACAACTGATACCCAGAGAAGTTAAGTCACGTGCCTCCAGGCACAAAGTAGGAACCAAAATGAGAGCAGACTGGGGTCTGGTGCCCCTGACCTGTGATCTCTTGACTAGCCCAAACATCCTTTCAGAGCATGCCTGCCCATTAGACTCCCATTTCCAGGCCCAGGCACTCTACAAAGAGCACCACACATTTATGGGAAGTACCATGGCCCTTCTGAGTGGATGGAGCAGAGCATTCAATAAATAACTTGCCTCCTTCATCTAAGAGACAAAGCTCAAAAGGAATCCAGGCCTGCCTCTTGGGCCAGACACAGGCAGTCATCAGACTGAGGGGAAGACACACACACTGCCCTTCAGGGAGGTGCCTCAATCTACACAGAGGCCACTAGGCAAGGAACAGGCAAGCATCGAATGGTGCATGCAGAGCTTGAGCACTGCGAAGAGAGAGAGCATCATGGTGCGAGGCAGGCATGAGGCCAGGAAGAGGCAGATTGGACAGGCACAGCACATCACGGACTGAAACAACAGGAGGTGTCACCTTCTGTGCACATCCTGACTGGCAGATAGTGATGCCTGGAGCACGATCCAGAGAAGTTTTCTGATGCCCAACCTGAGTTCAAGGAGAAAGGGAGCTGGGATCGCCTATTGATGTCTGTCCTCAATGTGGGAGTGGGAAAGTGGTAAGAGTGTTACCAAGTTGTTCTCCTTGCACAGTTGGGGAATTTGACCTTACCCTGAGATAAATGTCCAGCTACGGAAGTCTTCTAAGCGGGTGGGTGGAAGTAATGGCATAAGGAAGTTGGTGGTCTAAGACCATCATTTGACATCTGAGTGGAGGAGAGGATAAATTAGGAGAGAGGCTCTGAGCAGAGAGGACTCACAAGAAGCAGCTAAAATGAGCTGACTATATGGAGATAAGGTCTAGATGGAGGCTGCAGTCACAAGCATGAAAAAGAAAGGTAGTGTTATAGGGTCTTTCAAAGGAAGAAACACCAGGATTCAGCAACTGAATAAAGAAAGGGAAACAGGCTGAGTCATATAAACTGAGGACTGGATTCATGCCAAGAGATGGGGACAAGGAGAAGTGGGGAGGATGAGATGTGAGTGCAGGCAAGGAAGGGGCTGTGCTAAGAACTGGTTTGGGGGAAGAGCAGCAAGGGTCTAGTTCAGACATAGTGCCTTTGGGGTGAGTCTGGAGCCTCACACAGCTCCGCTAAAAGAAGACAGTGCCGAAGAGCACCCCTGAGAACGTCCCGGGTTCTCACCTGCTGTGTCCTCAAGGCACCCTGCCCACATGCCCAGTCTGTCCCTGGGTCTCTTCCTCTCCTTCACAGTGAGTGACCCTCAGTTGGTGCCCTGTCAGTCTGGCCGGGGAGAGACTAGAGAAGAGAGTTTGGGCTAGTTTCATTGACTCTCCATGAGGCCTGCTCCACAGAGAGCACCTGCGTTCCCGCCCCCTCAGCTCACAAGGGAGGAATGGAGTGGGCATGAAAGCAAGTGGCATTGTCAGCTGCACACCTCTCACACCCACAGCCCAGGAAGCCCTGCAGCTGCCTCCAGAGGGCTGCTGACCAGAGTCAGCTCCAGAGTCTCTGCAGCCCTTCAACATGAGCACCAGGGGTGGGCAGAGGGGCTGCCTCATAGCCCAGTGGCAACATTAAAGCAAAGGATCAGAAGGGGTGGCAAGCTGGCACTATAGAGATTCATAGGGCAAGCTGACCAGCCCTTACTCTGCTCCTACCTGTGGGCAGCACTTCCTCCCCTGCAGAGGGACATCTGGGACTTTTGGCTGGAGGATAGGAGCAGGAGTAGGCACCACACCAGGGAAAGCCACAGAACTCCAGCTGGGCTCTGGCTGCAGCTTAGCTCTTGGTGGTAGCATCCTGGGCAGTGGAACAGTGCCTCAAGCTGCCTTTCTGTCTCCTGCCAGGTGGCATGTGCCCAAGCCTTTCCCACCCTGCACCTGCTGACCCCAACTCCACTCTCCACAATCCTTTGTGGCCTAGATACAGCCTCCCCAGTTCTGACGGGTTTTGCGGCACAGAGCATAGTGGTCACTATCCTGACTCTGGAGTCAGAGGACTTGGATGTGAGTCCTGATTACATCTACCTAACCAGGCACAGTGCTTGGCTCATAACCTTATAAGGGGCATACCATTGTAACTCCCATTCTAAAAGGGGAAACTAAGGTCCTGAAAAGCCAATGGATTGGCACAGGTCATACAGATGGGAAGTGAGAGCTAGGATTTGAACCCCAAGCCTGTCTGATTCTGAACCTGTGCTCTTAACCATGACAGACATCCTATTAACCAGCAGTTCAAACTCCCCTTCATGGGAAATATAAAAATCAAACAATAAATGCGTGTTCATGAGAAATTTTGGAAAGCATAATGAAAATGAAGATTAAAAACAAAAGTGTAGCTCATATAAACTCAGAAAAATTGTAATTGAAGGTGATATAATTTATATGGCAAGAAATTTTGCAGATATTCATTATGAGATCTCTATTGTACTTATTCTTTTCTATGTTTTTGAAAAATCTTTTTGTTACCGTACTCTTGGAAATAACTTCAAGCAGGCAAGATAAAGATTATTTCACTGTGTGTAGAATTTTGCCACTACCAGAACTAAGGTGGTTTATTTGATACTAATCTCTTTAATAAATTCTTCATTCTTGGAACAGTCAACTGATTTAAAATCAAGAGCAGCTGGAAATTTCACCGCACTCTAAACTTGAAAAATGATCCCTCAAAAGAGCTGTGATTGCTATAGACAGCTGGACTCAGTGTCACTAACACTGCCAACTCTGTTTCCTGAGTTCATTTAGTGCTTTGTATATCGATAGGACAATAAGCGCTAAGGTCCAGAACAATGAACCAGAGACTTGCAAAATACTAGAGCCATCACATGAAATTCAGCGTGTGTTCAGTCCAGTCAGTTTCCGCATTAAAATATTTTATCAGAGCCTGACTCTGTGGAAATGTGGAGCCCATAGGTGACATGGGTGGGAACTCCCTGAGTGGTCAGAGGGCTCACTGCCCAACTGGAGACAAGCTGAACAGTCACCTTCCATGACAGTTCTCAGGGATAGACTGGGGTTTATCTGGACAGGCAGATGCTGGCACTGTCTTTGCCTGAGGGCAGAGGCCAAATGCATCCAGGTTCTCAGCTGCAAAAACGCACACGCTGCTTTGTAACCCTGTGGTTAAAGACCCCCAAGGTGGAGCCCAGCATGAAACCTAAGAGATACTCTCCCACCATGTGCGACATCCCTCCCCAAAGGACAAAGCTGACCTGTCCTTTCCCCAGCTTGATGCCTTCTTCTCCGTAGCACTCAGGCATCACTGGCTGCTCCCTCTGGGGCTTGCTTGGTTTTACTGATCCCCAGTGAAGTCGAAAATTCTTTAAGGTTCAGGACTCCAACTGTCATAGGCTGTGAGCTAGTACTTATTTAAATGAAGTATTTATGTTTTTGAGACATCTTAGCCATATATTCACATCTATGTTTCCTAAATAGGATGCTGGATCTGGGAATTTTAATTCTACAGTTTATGAATGTCATTTTCTAAGACTGGTCTCAGTGACAAGACCCTGGACCAAGTCTTTCATCTCGAAAATGAACTTCTAAATCCCTTGAGAACAGGGACCAGACTATGTATTTATTTAATCAATTCTGATTCAAGGATATGGTATTTAAACCAAGACCCAAAAGACAGCTGAAGACAACCAGGCAAAAGACATGGGAAGTATATACCAGGCAGAGGAAACATGCTGCAGAAAGGCCCAGAGGAGCAAGGGAGGAGACTATTTAGAGGTCTGGAAGCTGGCCCAGGTGGCCAGAGCAGCAAGCCAGTGAGATGAGGCCAGGAGATGGGCAGGGCAGATCACACCTGGCCTGAAGCCACAGGGAGGGTCTAGGCCTTTATCCTAGTGCCATGTCATCAAGGATGAGTGCCATAAGCCAACGTTCACTTCTAACAGATCACTCCAGTTGCAGGTGAGAATGGAAAGTAGGGGCAAGAGTGGAGGCAAGAAGGCAGGTTAGGAGCCAGAGCAGGATCCAGTGGAGAGAAAGCAGGGCAGAGATTTCCCGTGTGTGGGCCTTCCCTCTCAGCTCCTTACACAGAGCATGCACATGCATATGGACTTACTGCAAACTGAGCAAATGAAGTCATTCTATTGGCTGCTTTTCCACACGACTAACTTTAACTCAACTATCTACGATTTTCTTTTCCCTTTGCAAAACTAATTCTGTGCTTTTCTTTCTCTTTTTAACATGAAAGTGACTGGGTGTTTCATGCAGCAAAATAAAAACCACAGAGGTACATATATACAACAGAACCGTTTGGAGATATAAAAATTTTGATGAATAGTTTTGGTATTTGCCATGCCTTCCCCTGCCCCGCCCCCAATATCCATGAAAATCACAAGCAGTAAAATACAAAGGGGTGAATGGTGACAAGGAAGCAGAGGCCTTTGAGGGGAGCCCCGCCCCAGGACTTCCTGGACATTGGGCTGGGGACGGAAGGCTATGTTTGGGGCAATAGTTTGTCTCTGTCGAGGCTGCCTTTCAGAGCAATGAAGTTAAGGTCATTGTGGGGAGGGAAAGCCTCTGTGTTCTGGGATGGGTGTGGGGTGGGAATGAAGCAGAAATAGAATCTGCAGTGAGAACATCACCAGTTCACCCAACCCCCACGTTGGGGAGACAAAGGGCCCTTTCGGGGAGCGAAGGTTCTGGTCCACCTCCTCTATGGGAGTCTCTGGGCATTCCTGGCTTGCTCAGCCGAGAGAAGATGGGTCTCCAGTCTTATCCGTTCTTTCCCTGCCCCCGCATCCGCGGGCACAGGGTTTCTCCCCTTCCCTAGCCCAGACCTAAAAGCGTCATCTCCCCCAGACCCTAGACCCCGTACCATCCGTCCAGGATACCTCAGGCTGGAGAGAGCGCAGACCCTAGTTCTTCCACCCAGCCCGTCCATCGCGCGAAAAAGCGCACGAAAATTCCCAAATCACCGCTACCACCCTCCCAACCCCCAAGCCTACATTCTCCAGGCCTTACCGCTGGGGCCGGGAGTGTCGCAGGACACGGCCTTGGCAGGGCCGGGAGCCGCGCCCGAGCCCGAGCCCGAGCCGCGCGCTCAGCACCACGGTCAGCTCCCGGCGCCGCGCGCGCCCGCCGGTAGGGGAGGCCGAGGGCCAGCGCCGGCTTGCTGCCGCCGGAGGGGCTGAAGGGCCGGCAGGGGGCGGGCAGGCGGGGGTTAAGCCGCAGGAGAGCGACGGGGCGGGGCGGGGCCGGGCCGGGAGCCAGTGGGCCGCGGAGGCGCCCCCGCGCAGGAGCGGGCGAGGGGATGCGAGCCCCGGCCGGGGCGGGGGCTGCTCCGGGAGGGCTGCCGCCTCGGCGTGCCGCCGCGGCCCGGACCTTGCTCGGTCTCGCTTTGTTCTTCTCGGCGTCTCAGTCTCTGTGTGTCTCTGCCTCGCCGCAGGGCTGTGGTTTTGCATCCATCAGGCCCAGCCGCTCGTGCTCCCGGGACCCCCCGCCGCCCCGTCGTCTCCCCCCGCCCCGGTTCGAACCCCTGAGAGCGCACAGGTGTGCTTGCCCCTGCCCTGCAGCGGGTAGCGCGGAGGCAGATTGAATCCCAACTCTCTCGGAAGGGCTCGGTTACACGGGCCTAGTTATGAGTCCCACCCAGGATTCGGAGCGCGCTTGGAAGAAGGGGAAGGCCAATCTTGGGATGCAGGACAGAGCAGAGTCTTCCAGAACCTTTTTTACAGAATGCCTTTGCCTCTCTTGGTCCCGATTATATTAGGAACGGGAACAGAGGAGGCGCTTCCCTCCCGGGTACTCACTGTGCGAGGTCTGCTGATCCTGCGCCCCGCCGCAGTCTTGAGGGAGGAGCAGCAATGTTGTGAGGATTCTCTACCCGACGAGCTGAGGACAGAGGGTCTGCACGCTGGGGGGAATAAAGGATGGATTAAGTAACTCCAGGATAGCTCAGGGAGCGTGGGGGAGGGGGCGTGAGGTGGAGACGGGCGGGAAGCACAAGTGGTGCTGGTGAGGCGGCTGATCCCACGGGGCGTGGGGACGGTGGTGAGGGGGCTGATCCAACACAGCGGAGGTGAGTGCAGGCAGAAGAACGCAGGGGCCACCGCCCAGGCCAGGCTTGGGTTGAGGCCTAGAGGAGGTCAGGGCTCGGGCAGATGAGGAAGGTCGTGCCTTGCTCTGAGCATCATGGGCTCCCTCCCTGTCCCCATGTCCAAGACAAACCCTGAACACAAGGTGTCTCACCTTGGTTTGGGCTGGCTTCGTCATAACCCATCAGCCTTCTTTATACTTAGTCACCCAGGGTCGAGAGGGGCTCCGCCACAGGCCCCTCCTCCAGTGAGGATCATCCGCTTGCTTTGGATGAGCCCACCTTCTTACATTTCTTGACTTGGACAGTCCTGACTCAGCATGACCCCAGAGGCCCCCCTCACAGCATGTTGTTGGTGACTTTTCCTGGCAGTTTCCGGCCATCAGAGTTCCCTGCATCAGTTCTTCCCTGTTGGCTAGAAACAAAGGCTGCTCTGAGCCTCCTTGAATCGAGGTAGGACTCCCACAGACTCCGGCGTCCTCACCAGTTAAAGTTAGGGAACATCAGCCTCTCTTGTAATGGTCTCCCTTCTTCTGCGTTACAAGGACTTTTTATATTTCCCAAACTTTTCCTTTTTTGAGGATAGTTATGGGCTCCGCCTCTTCCAATAAGTGGTAATAGCTCTTTCCAACGCTCAACCTGTCACCCTTTGGCCAAGGAGAGCTAGTGTGAGTCATCTCCTTTGTCCCTTCAGAGGGTATAAAAACATCCTTACTTTTAGGTAACAAAAACAAAACAAACAAATTATATACAAAATTTTTTCTTTCCCCAAGACATGAGATAGGTCTTCTCCAAGGACCCCTTGAAAGATCTTTCACACCACGATGTCCCTGTTCAGATATTACTGATGATTTTTCTTTAATATTGTTCTAACCTAAACTTACTTTATGTTATTTTTATAATACACTGACTTGCTTTTCTCATCCGTATTTTTGGGGCTTGGCTGTAACCCTTTTCTTTCTTGCCATGGGCCCTTGGGTCTCTCTGATCCCACTCCCTGGTCACTTGGTTGGAGGATCTCAGACCTTCTGGCCATACCCATTGCTTTCCTGCCAGACGCAAAGGGTTTCACTTGACTGTGAACACAATGTCCAACAGCCTACGGGGTGGATCCATCCAGTCAGCTGCAGCAGTGGGGGAGTGAAAGGCCAGGTTGGCAGCCTGAGAACTGAATTTCTTGTGGGGCCTACATCTGAGGGGACTCGGAGGTGAGGGAGGGGGACCCCATATTTCTAAGGAAGGCTGGCAGGGCTGGGACTGTCAACTTGGAGAAGAACAGGCTTCAGGGGCCACAATCTGGAGGAGGTGGCTAGGTGGGGAGGAGGGATGATGGCCCCAAGGATGGGCGTGGGCAGAGGCACTGGAGGAGTCAAGTCAGTTCCTCTGTGGAAAGATGTGCTCCCCAATCTCAAACAAAAGATAGCGTTAGGGGTACTATCAGATGAAGTGGGCTACTGCTATGATTGGGTGGTTTCCTGTTCATTTAAAATTATTTGCATTTAAAATTTTTCACTGTTAAAAAATAAACTGAGCACAATTTGTTTCTTTTTCGTTTTTTAAATTGTGGCAAAATACAGAAACAGTTGAATTTCCCTTTTCAGTGCTTTTTAAGTATACACTTCACTGTCATTAATTACATTTACAGTGTTATGCAACCATCACCTCGGTCTATTTCTAAAACATTTTCATCACCCCAGATAGAAACTCCACACCCATTAAGCAATAACTGCTCATTCTTCTCTCCCTCTAGCTGCTGGTAACAATTATTTCACTTTCTTTCTCCATGAATTTGACTGTTCTAGCTAACTCATATAAACGGAATCATACGATATTTGTCCTTTTGAGTCTGGTTTATTTCACTGAGCATAAAGTTTTAAAGGGTCATCCATGTTGTAGTATGTGGTAAAATTTCATTCCTTTTTAAGGCTGAATAATATTCCATTGTATGTATATACCTCATTTCTTTATCCATTCATCCAGTGATGGACACTTGGGTTGTTTCCACTTTTTGTCTATTGTGAATAATGCTGCTGTAAACATTGGTGTAAAAATATATGTTCAAGTTTCAGCTTTCACTTCTTATGAGTGTATACCTAGCAATGGAATTGTTGGATCATATGGTAATTCTATATTTAATTTTTTGAGGGACCATCATACTTTTTCCCACAGTGACTGCACCAGTTGATATATTCCCACCAGAATGCGTAAGGGCTCTAATTACTCCACATCCTTGTCAACACTTGTTATTTTCTGTGTTTTTGTTGTTTTTTAACAACAGCCATCCTAATGGACGTGAAGTGGTATCTCATTGTGGTTTTGATTTGCATTTCTCTAATGATTAGTGATGTTAAGAATTTTTTCATGTGATTATCAGCCATTTGTATATTTTCTTTGAAGAAATGTCTATTGGAATCTTTTTAAATTGTATTGTTTGGTTTTTTTCCAGCTGTTTTGAGATATTATTGACATAGACATATGTAAGTTTAAGGTGTACAACCTGATGGTTTGATACACATAGATACAGCAAAATGTTTTCCACAATAAGGTTAGTTAACACCTCCATCCTCTCACAATATTGCCATTTTTTGGGGGGGTGTGGTAACAACATTTAAGATTTACTCTCTTAGCAACATTCAAGTATATAATACAGTATCATTAATATAGTCACCATACTGTACATTAGATGCGCAGAACTTATTTATCTTATAGCTGAAGTTTGTACCCTTTGACCAATGTCTCCCCATTTCCTCTATCCCCCATCCCCTGGCAACCACTCTTCCACTCTCTATATCTATGAGTTCAGCTTTTTAATATTCTACATATATGTGATATATATACACACACATACGTGCACACACACATATACATAAGTGAGATCATATGGTATTTGTCTTTCTCTGTCTGACTTATTTCACTCAGCATAAAGCCCTCAAGATCCATCTGTGTTGTCTCAAAAGGCAGGATTTCTTTCTTTTTTATGGCTGAATAATATTCCATTGTGTGTGTGTATGTGTGTGTGTGTGTACCGTCATGTGCCACAGAACATTTTGGTCAGTGATGGACTGCATATACAATGGTGGCCGTATAAGATCAGTATCACATAGCCTAGGTGTATAGTAGGTTATACCACCTAGGTTTGTGCAAGTAGACTCTATAATGTTTGCACAATGACAAAATCATCTAGTGACTCATTTCTCAGAACATATATCCGTCGGTGAGTGATACATGACTGTGCATATGTGTGTATACACACACACACACAATTTTTGTTATCCATTCATCCGTCAGTGGGCACTAATGTTGTTTCTATGTATTAGCTATTGTGAATAAAGTTTCAATGAACATAGAGGTGAAGATATTTCTTCAAGATTGCATCCCTTTCGAAATAAACTCAGAAGTGGGATTGCTGGATCATAAGGAAATTCCATTTTTTAATTTTTTGAGGAACCTCCATACTGTTTTTCATAGTGGCCACACCAGTTTGCGTTCCCTCCAGCATTGTACAAGGGCTTCCTTTTCTGCAGTGTCACCAACACTTGCGTCTTGTATTTTTGATGACAGCCATTCTAATAGGTGTGAGGTGAGATCTTGTGGTTTTGATGTTTGTGTCCCTGATGATTAATGATGATGAGTGCCTTTTCATGTTTGTTGTATGTCTTCTTTGGAAAAATGTCTATTCAGTTCCTCTGTCCATTTTTTAATTGGATTGTTAATTTTTTTGCTATTGAGTTACATGAGTTCCCTATATATTTTGGATATATCAGATAGAGGGTTTGCAAATATTTTCTTCCATTTTTTAGGTGGCTTTTACATTTTGTTGATTGTTTCTTTTGCCGTGCAGAAGGTTCTTAGTTTGACATAGTTTTACAATTTGAGGTCTTACATTTAATTTTTAAATCCATTTTGAGTTAATTTTTGTAAGGGGTCTAAGGTAGGGTTCCAATTTCCTTTTTGTGCATGTGAATATTCAGTTTTCCTAACACCATTTATTGAAGAGACTATCCACTCCCCACAGAGTATTCTTGGCTCCCTTGTCAAATCTTAGCTGACTTTATATGCATGGATTTATTTCTGGGCTCTCAATTCCATTCCATTAGTCTAT